AGATTCTGGAAAAAGAACTCAATACCAATAATACCAGGAGCCCGATTCTCGAATTCGTTGGAATTCGTTCCCATGGGAAAAACTCGATATTTCCCATGTAAATTTGAGATGATGTAATCTTGAATTATTGTGTGGGAAACTATTCCTACACATTTCAAGAGAACTGCTTCCCCATGGTAATACTCATGGGAACAGCATATTTCCCATAGAATACACTCATGAAATATGAAGTTATTCTCATTTGTGATGGGAACTGAACACTAGTGAAAAATCGGAAAAACATATGTATTGCAAAACATGGCAAACATAGATGAAATAGATCATCTAGAGGCTTTACAAAATTTGGAAGTGGCTGAAATCCTTGCTAGAAGACTAAGAAGAAGGTTTCTGTGTAGAAGGGAGCATTTGAGTGTTAGTCTGCTGCAAAATTTATTAAAGTTTTTCGTTTGTCAAAGACATTACTAGAAAATTGATAGGTACTTTAGAATCCTTATAAGTAAATTGGGGGTGGGATTTTCCTTTCCTCAAGTCCTGAGAGGCCTTCTACTAAAAGTCTTGTTTGGTCTTTGCTAGTACTACCACCTCGTGGTTTTTCAATATTGTTTGTATCCATATCCATTTCGATCAGAGGAAATATAGTAAATATACAATACACAATAATCTCACAGTCACAAAATTATATTATACTATAACCTTCAAATTTGTCAAAATCAAAATGTCCACATTTCATGTCAATCATCCACCAGTTACCAACATAAATTCTACTTAATTCATTGGTGAATTCATGTAAGTTCAAGAATCTATCTGCGACATACGGTACTTTTTCAATCCCTTGGGAAAAACGATTCCATCTGGTTCAAGAATAGGTGAATAGGACAAATTATCATTTCCTATGAGAACTGAAAGCATTGGATTATTCTCCTATAGGATCGAATTCCTATAGATTCGAGAATCGGGCCCCTGTAATTTTAATTTTTCTTTTAAAACCGCCAATACTCTAGGGCGTGCCTTAGTCAACACAAAAGATGAGATTGATATTCTAGAAAAATCTGGTGTTTATGAATTAACTTATAAGTGTTAGTTAGAGTCTTTCTATTCCAAAGATGTCAAATCTCAGCCTCCCGTACGCCTCGCACTCGCCGAGAAAATGGAGTGACGTTTCTTCGTCTTCCCCACATCTGCGGCTAGTGGAATTGTCCTCTATTCCCATAAGTGTTAGTTGTCTGCCTAGCCTGTTGTGTCCTGTGAGTACTCCTATGAGGAAGCGGAGTACTTGGATTGTCTCTGCCAAGTAGAGTCACTGGATGGTATTAGTTTGATAAGAGTTCGGATACAGCTTAACTTTTTTCCTTTTCTATTTTCTATAATACAATGGTTTAAGTGAATAAAAGAATAAGACATATATTCTGCTCTTTGTCTTTTCAATTCCCCTAGTAGCGCCTGATTGTCAGATACGATTTTAGAGGTTATATTTTCTGTCAAATCAATCATAGCCGTAGATGGACAATGGATATAGGGTATAAACACTTACTTCAATTCATAGTGATACACTTCTAGCAGAGCAAGATTTATATAAATGAAAAAAATGCATGTAACAACATTTTAATATCAGAGAATATATACATATGGATAAACTTATAGCTATGATTCCTTATTGTATGTGAAACTGTACTCCAGTGAAGAATTCCTGAGACAATTTTAAGATTACAAGCTTGTGTCTGGAAATGCTTCATTTCGGAGATACAGGGTGTTGAAATACAGAGAACAAATCATTTTTAGATAAAGATTTCATGCGAAAAAAGTTATTTATTTTGACGTGACCTACCAAATTCTTGGTTTTCTTAAGTTCTCAGCAACTTCACTTAGCGCCCTAGGAGCTAAGTAACATGGATCGATATAGAAAATATCTCCAAAACGATAACCTCCAAGCGTAATTAAGGCCCTTATAATAATTCCCTTGATACATAAATATCTATCCACTTTTCACTGTTGAGTTTTGAATTCGTGAAGAAGTGAATTTCAATGAGTACCTCACCAATTTCGCTCGTCTTCACTTTGATTTTCCACCCAGGCCATTTCATATCTTTCTTCCATAACCGAATGCTTGATATTTGATTTGGAAAATCGAATAAATGATATCCATTTGTTTCAAAATTGTCACAATTTATTATACAGCAAGTGATTTCCATAGCTGCTTTTATCTCGAAAGTATAATAATTATTATGAAATTCTATTTCAATTCTGACGTTTATAAAATGAATTGTCAAATTCAAAAAATTTTTAATGAAAAAGCGCGGGACGACTATGGTGCTCTTGTCACAATGCAAGGTGTGTAACTTTATAAATCTAAACATTCAAAAACCCTAACTGTTGTTATTTCTGTGTCCGAACTCTTATCAAACTAATACCATCAAGTGACTCTACTGTCAAGCAGCCAGTCCTTCCTTGATTTGCTCAGACCGGCCGCGAATTCTTTGGCCTGCCTGCAACCTGTGGACAATAAATGATGCTAGAACATTGCTTGAGAATACCTTGTATAAATTCGAAGGATAACTACCTACAAATAAAATTCGTCTATCTCCTAAACTAATGTGTTTCCAGTACTACTGCGATAATATGATTAATTTCATGAAGATGGTGTCGGATTTTAACAGCATGATATCAAATGACTCATCATGTATTTCCAGAAGTCAATGCAAATACCTATATTTTCAACTTATTTTACATCAACAACTTGTCAAATGTCTTCCGCTATAATTGAGGGACCTGTCCCGATAACCAATCTGAGTCTGTACCACCTAAAATTTGTTTTTTGAAGATGACCAGCCTTTTGACTTTGAAGACTCATTGCTGTGAGTCAATAAATAGGTATTTACATTTTAGGTATAGAAAACCATTGGATATTTTAGAGATGACTTCCTACTGAACTTTTACCTTCTACCAGAAATTATCATATGTAATACCGCAAGTGATACTATTTTGTCGGAAATATGAGGCGATTGTTACGACAGCTCGTTGCCTAATAATTTCACGACATGACATTGTTTATCAAAACTTTCGAGCCCTAGGCGAGAAGTTTTGTAACAATGTCAGCGAAATTAAAGCAGCAAGCTAAAGTATGCCAATCGACGAATATTTTCAAGAAAAATAGTTTCATGAGTTGTATTCGTATGACTAGTCAATGATTGAGAAAATAAACGAGCGCCTAGCGAGAGTTGCACACATTGCATCCATCATTCTGGCTTCCAACATACATTTCTAAAATTGTATCGGTGAAAAACGACGTTGGCTGCTCACATGTGGGTCAATTTGGCTTCTGTCTTGGTAATGGGCTTATATCACAAAACATTTTTATTTCATAATTCGATAGAACTCACCCAAACTAGCTCACCACCGCAAACCGTTTCTTGCTGTGAGCTCCCTACGTTTTATAAAAAATTATTGAAATCCCCGATTTTTCGGACCTCTGAAAACGAGGCGATGATGTGACGTCAAAACCCTAATACTGAAACAAGACTATTCCAGACAGAGATGAATGATACATGATTTGTCACAAAGCACCAAGATTGGTGAATCGGCAAGTTGATTTTTGGGACATAGATGATAAGAACAAGAAGAAGATCAATTTTAACCTATATTAAGTTTCTGCAACTTCCGAGTATTAAATTGAAATATTTCGACAAAACTATGATTGAGAAATGTTCTGTGCCTAATTGCAATTAAAAAAACATCATTTAGCTGGGAATTTTGAGAACAAATCTCGCCCCTCACTGGGTAAACACAATATTATAGTAGTAGTTTTGCTTTGCAGAAATTCATAGGGAAATTGCTTGAAGAATGAAGGATCCATCTCCTAGAAGAACATTCAGGGAGATGCAAGCAGTATCTAGTCTTGGGAATAACATTGTCTCATATCAATTGATCATATTGTTGCATAGGTAAACATATCGATCAGTGACTGATTTAATGAGGATTCTCCCTCGGAATCTCCATATGATGGGTATTCTGATGTTAAATATCCTTTCAGGTGAACAATTTTCCAATGCAACTATAATAGGTACAAGCAATGAAAATTGAATGAATATAGTGGAACTCACCTTTCAGATTTTCTATTCCTTATTTCAGCACTGAGGAACTGTGGAGATTTTCTAGTATGTTAGAGACATAAAAATAATTAACCATTTCCAAATCAATTTTCGGTAGATTATTTGATGAGCCTTTTACAAATCCTGATTCAACGTTCATGTTTATATTCAATATATCAATAATATGTACTAATATAATATAAAGCAAGATTTGGAGGTTAATTTCATTACGTGTCTTCTCTTCTCATTTTAGACGACATAATTAACTTCGGAAACGGAATTCGAGACTCGATGCAAATGCAGCTCCATGTGAAACGGGTCAACAAAGCAATGTTGCTGCGTTCATGAAATATATTGGATTATTGTAAAATTGTCATGGTGCAAATGGTTTTGAGATTGAGACATTTCGTTGTTTAGTGATTGTTTATATTCTAATGATTCAACCTACCATCGACAAGTTGAATATATTTTTCTGCAGTAGTGGTAGTTGATATCAAAAGATATTTGAATATCGATTTCGATCTCTCGGATATTTTGTTTAGATGATATGGCAACAGTGATAAGTGTCACACATGGGTCACTCTATGGGTCACGCTCATTGGTTCCAGGCGAGATGAGGTTTCTACGTCATAAAGAGGGTCCGTTTTCAGAAACTATTATTTATGTCCAAAAATAAAACATTCCAGTTAATTTTTAGATGGAATTATGTCGTCAATCGTTATTTATGTATAAAAGGATCATTATGAACATGGTTTGAGTTGAAAGTTCTACTAAGGTGTACAAATCTAACAAAATAGCGGAAGAGATATGACAAGTTGTCATTCGATATTTGCAACGTTCAAATTCCACTTTACATCTTTGTGATACTGTTGTCGTCATCGTCGATTGAACGTCGCGTGTGGCCTTTCGTTTCAGCCATATTCAGTACCAAAAAGAAAGAAAAAATCCGTCACCGGTTCATACCGGACCTATGCCAAAGAGGTGCCATTTTGTGGCAAGTATTATTAGACGATAGCGGCCAAGGACAGCAGATCGAATGCTTCCTCGGTATATCCTCGGACACGTTCGTGCTGATCGAGGAGACATCCAAACAGGTAAGATGATCTTTTCACTGATGATTTCAGAACGTAACATTAGTTAATTATTCACATCTTATCTTGATTATCTTCTTTGAACTTCAGGTCAACATAAGAACTTTTTTTATTGTATATTTTTCCAATACCTACCTCCTGTCCATATCCTCCCTAGGAACGCACGATGTTCTTTGAACATTATAGGGATTCCCTCTCGTGCGCTCCAAGCGATAATAATAATAATAATAAACTAGACGACCCTTCGATGTTCAATTCTCAGTAGCAGACCTCTGCAAGATTCAGTTAACCAAATGATAATCCATTTTAATTGCAATATTCTTATGCAAAATTTTGACTGTTGGATAGACGATCAGTAGACCTTTCAAACGAGGTGTCACATGACCCCTGCTTGTATTTGAAAAAATCGTCCATTACGTCAGTACTTCTACACCAGTGACGTAACATCTCTCATATGAATGTCATGAGATGAGGCTTCAAAAATTAAAACTCACGTGTTTTTGGAATTTCTTCAAATGTCGCCCATTTCTGAAATAATGAATTTATTCCATACATTTGCATCATACTGTATAATCTTGTAAGTTGATAAAATGGAAAAAAAAATAATGCATGGCAAGAATATGACTGAAATTCGATTTCAAATATTGTAATTTTTTTGATATCAAATAGTAAGTGGAAGTATGTGACATTGACATCTGATATAGTTTTGAAACCTCAGGGCCGGTTGCATAAAAGCTCATCAATTATTTGATGTCACTTCAAATATTTGATGCGATGTTATAAATGGAATTCTATTGCATGAAAGGCCCATCATTTAATGGCATGGATACTTAATCATCTGATTAACTTATTATAATAATGACTATTTAACTAAAAAGTCGGTTGCACAAAGGCCAATCAACTTTCGATGTCGCATCAAATCGACTTATTCATGGCATCAACTCAATCAGTGCTCGACCACTGATTAAAGTGACAACCAGCATGACTTGTGAGAGTTGCGCCAAATTGATTAGAATATTTCGCAGAATTTTTGTTCTTCTCAGTTCTTGTTCCATTTCAAAAAGGTAGAGTAGGTAAATGAACACAATATTGTAAGTGAATGACTATTATTGGTTTTACAGAAAATGTCTATCTCATCACTGTCTTCACTATCTGAAGAAGAACTACTAATTTTCAAGTCAAGAACCTTTCGAAACAATCCGTTCAGCATGTATGATGGCAATGATTCCAATACCCGATTCATGTTTTCTGTAACTTCTTTCAATCTGAATGTTAATCAAGCAAATAAACCTAACCTAAAATGCGTATCAACAATGCGCGGAGTGCAAGGAGCAGACAGATTTAGCGCTGTTGCCACACCCTTCTCGTCATTAGTAAATGGAATGATTATTATAACATCAGATTGTTTATGCAATGCAAATGACATTTAATATAACATCAAAGTTATTGTGGCATTAGCTGATTATATGATCAATTTTTCTTTATGCAACCGGCCCTCAGTCTCTTAAAAATCTCACTCAACCTTAAGGGTTGAATTGTCTTAAAATAGATAAACCACAATGAAATATCTTATTTTCAAACATGAACTGAACAAACACTTTCAGTAAACAGTTGGAAAATTGCCATTACTATTTATTTCTCGTAATCCAATACTGTTTTTTTATTCAACCATATTCAGATGATAACTGTTTCATAACAACACCATGTTGAAACTTTTCTGTAGAATTACGAGGTACGTGGTTTGTTCTTTCCTCGGAATCAAAATGTAATCTTTCAGCGGGATTACGTACATTCTTGAGCGACACACGACCGATACGCAAATAACGGATTCGGTTGTTATAAACCTCGGCTACGCCTCGAATAACAATATTCAACCCCATCCGTTATTTGCTACATATGGGCCTTGTAACGCTAAAAACTATAACATCATTTTGTATAAGAACAAGAACTGAGTGAAGAACAGCTCTCTCATGAAAGTACCTATCTATTAAATTTAACATTGTGAAAAAGTATAGTTTAATAAACTCATAGATCAATTAATAAAACATTAAAATTCAAACTCAGTTTCTTACTGGTTTCTTTTACAGCCTTATTTGTAACCCAGTAAAGCAGCTTTAATTAAATAGGTTTATAACTAACTCAATAAAATATCATATTGAAGTCGTTTACTGACCTTCAAAGCAGTCTTGAAACATTTGAAAGACCTATTTCAATACTAACAGTGTTTTGCAATTTTTTTTTCGTACTTGTTACACTTCCACAATAAGTGATGTGAGGTCAGTGGTCAGTCTCAGGAACTATCTTCTAGTTATTGGGTCAGTATAACTCACCATATTTTTGATTATCTAAATTTACATTATGATTCATCTCCATGTAAAATGTTGAAGCCAAATTTGGCCATAGTTCTTGGCTGATTCGTAGGCGACGCTGGCGATATACGACCGATTTGTCTAAACTCTCGAGATATGATCGAGTCCACCTATCTGCAAGTTGCTGAACTATCTAGGAATATCTTATTTTCTGAAGCAGGAATATCACGTACTGTATTCTGGAAGCCTTTAAATCAAAATATTTTTAATCCGGCTCGGATGAAACATCCCTTGCATTATTATATCTAAAAATAGACCTCGACTATATTCTGCATTACCCATCTCTACCCATCGCTACTCAACAATTTCATCTTGTCGCTCATAGATACCGCATCCTGAAGATTCCAATCTTCTTTCCCTTAATTCTAATAAGACCCAATATATAATTTTCCATCAAAGAAATAAACAAAATATTGATTTGAATATTGGAATAAAAAATGAAAGATACAAACTGCCTGTTTAGACTTCGAATGTTATCACATTTTTGGTATGAGCTGAACCTGACTTGAAGGCGATGAAAAAAGCTGAAGAAATTGTCAGAGCAACGGCACAACAAGATTGTAATAAAGAATCGAATCTGATATGACATATTTGGATTTCAAAAAATAAAAATAATTTGAATAATATCGTAAATACTTGTGTTTTCCCCGCAAGGGGTGGACCATCGAACGAACCTTCGAACGAAATAACACTGCCTATACCAAATACCTTGGTATTTGGATTGATGAAAAGTTAACATGGAACAAGCATATTGGCATGCTCAAAGAAAAAATTTCCCCCATAGTTGGTGCCTTAAGAAGATGTCCAAAACTTCTCCCAAATATAGCAAATACCGTTCTATACTCTCACATCCTTAGTAATATGAACTATCTCATAAATATTTGGGGTTCATGTTCCAAGAATAATTTCAACGAAATATCTGTACTATATAAAAAAGCATTAAAAGTACTGTGTCGTCTTCCATATGACACCCCATCAAATCAAAGTTATGAAGAAACAAATACATTTTCTTTGGAAGAGCACTATCTGATAAATACTCTTAAAATTTCTTTTGAAATTATCAACAAACACCTCAAATCTAACTTCATATTGGTAAGGAATTCTAAAATTCATGAACATCATACTAGACAATATGACTTGTTTCATCTTGATGCTGCTCATTCTACACTTGGTCAAAAAAAGTTCACTCACGGAGCTATCTCAAAATTCAATAAATTACCTGATGATATCAAAAGTTGCACAAATATCACCCAATTCAAAATCAAATTCAAGAAACATATCCTCTTGCAAAGAGAAAATTAAACCTGAGTGAATGATTTCTCATTGACTAATTTATTTCATCATGTCATAATGTACTTTTCATGAGCTTTTTGTTTTATTTATTTTTTTCATATTCTGTTGTTTATTTCAATAACTATAATTTAATTTGATAACGCATGAGTAATCTCATACCAGATATGAATCTGTCTGATTATTCATGTTATTCCATTGTAAATGTTAATGATTATATTTATATTTATATGAGATGCAATGTAATGTTTATAGCAGAGATTGAAATAAAGATTGAAATAATTTGAAAAAAACATTTTTTTCATATATCATTTTTTAACATCAAAATATATACATAATGTTTGGCAGTGGAAAGTTAATGACAACTGTCAGAAAATAATTTTACGATTATGACATCTCCATCTCATGAAAGAATCTTCTTCTTCATCGCCTTCGTACTAAATATCACGTCAATGATGGAAAGCACGTCTGTGGTTGGGTACATATTGAAGAAAAATAGAAGAAGAGAATACCAACCTAATATTGTCTAATTTGACATGAACAAATGAGCTCTTTCCAATTTCTCGTCCTCAGCGCTACTTGACAGACAGACTTATTTTGAAGACGCAGGGTATAACATGAAGTTATAGTCATGTTGTAGCCATCTAGTGGCAATAAAGCTCTAAGGTAGGATACAGAAATCGCGACACACACTGTATGGCGCTGTCATCTATAGTCACACGTACAGACCCCTACGTCTATACGTTACAGAGTGGTACTACAAGTAAACCACTCTGCTGACAGATGGCACTACCTGACATACTTGAGTGGAATTTTTCCACCACCTATTCAACTGCTAGATCTCATAACTAAGAGATCTAGGATGAACAGAGTTGCCCCAATTGTTAGCAGGAGCGAGACAGTACTGTTTCGACCCACCAGGTCTCATCAGCCGCTCTCGGTCTGCTGACAACTGGGACAACTCTCTCTTAGTTATGAGATCTAGCAGTTGAATAGGTGGTGGAAAAATTCCACTCAAGTATGTCAGGTAGTGCCATCTGTCAGCAGAGTGGTTTACTTGTAGTACCACTCTGTAACGTATAGACGTAGGGGTCTGTACGTGTGACTATAGATAACAGCGCCATACAGTGTGTGTCGCGATTTCTGTATCCTACCTTAGAGCTTCATTGCCACTAGATGGCTACAACATGACTATAACTTCATGTTATACCCTGCGTCTTCGAAATGGGTGATATACCCGAAGCGTAGAGTTGTCCCAGTTGTCAGCAGACCGAGAGCGGCTGATGAGACCTGGTGGGTCGAAACAGTACTGTCTCGCTCCTGCTGACAATTGGGGTAACTCTGTTCATCCTAGATCTCTTAGTTATGAGATCTAGCAGACTTATTTTGATTGAATGAACAGACAATATTATTCCTCCTCGCACTAGGTCGCCTACTAGGTTTTCATTTAGATCGACAATGCCTGAATAGAATGTAAGGATGGTTCCAATTGTTGACTGTAATTAATCAAGGATAGTACTTCATTTCAGTGGTTAGTACCGCAATATTTTATTCCTTAGATCGTTTTCGTGACGCCGTGCAAGTCGGTGTTGGGCTGGTCGCCGCAAACGAACAGTTTGAGGCTGTACCACCACCAGGGGGAGTGCATGACGATACACATGCGCGATTCGCACGCCGACAGAGACGAGCTCATGGAGATCATGGACAGATTGAAGGCTGTCACGTTCGGACATCTCGCGCAGGAGGTGACGATCAGGTGAGGTTCACGAAGTAACTCATGTTTCTGTGTTCGGATTATTGACTGTCAAAAGGTCTTTTCGGAAACCTATTCGTATTGATACAGTCCTCAACCTGAACGTTCTTTTACCTAACCGGAGTTGCATACCCGTGTTCGTATACTCCGGTGTTGCCTACTCGATCACTAACTCAGGTTTGTCTATTGCGACCCTACACAAAAGCAGGGACATCAGAGTATACTAGAGTCACTGGATGGTATTAGTTAGGGTCCCTTGATGGAAATTGACGTTAAAGTCATCTTAACAGGGTACGGACAGATCCTCGTCTCCTCTCACTCTAAAGTGTTTGTGAAACAGTTATATAGTTCCATCTTTATTCATTTCTGGGGATAAACACTAGATTTCTGACAATCGTTTTTTAGGTTATATTGAGGTCACTGGCGTATCGTAATTTCCATATGGAATTCCTGATTCAACTATACCAAGATATAGACGAACAATCCTCTAATTTTAGAGTTTACTACTCCAGCATAATCTTTGAGAGGTAGGGAACATATTTCACCAAAAGAGCATGTTCTTAGACTGTATACCAGGGTTGACTGAATTGACTGAATGAATTCTGATTTCAAGATGAGCATTAGTTCATCTATGAGCTGAATGAACAGAGCCTTATGAATTATGATTGAAAAATGGTGGAAACCTCGATGTGGGTATCTGAACTACTGTACTCATATCATGTGTGCTAAATATATTTTCCGAAATCCAACTCGGAGAAGAATAATATGGAGTTACTAATATCACACTATGTATAAAACTTCGTCTAGGACGAAAAGAAGGCTGATGAATAGTATTACGTAAAATGTATAGGAAAATGAAGAATAGAATAATACTTTACCTGATTTTGCCGTTTCCCTTGAATAAGAAGGCATTTTCGAATAATTTATTGTTGAAAGTAACAAAGAAGTAGGTATACGCAGTATAACTCATAGGCATGTTATTTTCACTTTCCCATCCTACACATTTTCTATTTATGGTAGAGTAATAATTATATAAAGAAATGTTTTTCGCCATATTGGATCCGTCATCTTGAATTTTCCAATTTTTACGAAACAATCATTATCTCCTACACCGAAAACCTCAGATACCAATTTTGAATAGAATCGGATCTTCATCACAAAACTCGTCCACAATATTAGATCCGCCATCTTGAATATCCCAATTTTGACGAAATAACTATAATCACCGACCCCGAAAATCCCCAGATACCAATTCTGATTTTTGAATAGCATCGGATCATAATTAAAAAATTCGTTCGCCATATTGGATCCGCTATCTTAAATTTCCCAAGGTTGACAAAAAAATCATGAAGTTCGACCCCCAAAACCCTCAGATACCAATCTCAAATAGAATCAGACCATAATTAGAAATTTCTTTCGCTATTTGGACCCATCATCTTGAATTCTCCAAGTTTGACGAAACAATCATTATCTCCAACCCCGGAAAACCCCAGATACCTTCCAATTTTGAATACAATCGGATCATAATGACAAAACTCGTTCGCCATATGATCTTCCTCAGCAAGTAATACCCTGTACATACCTATTATTAAAATTTTGAATAATTTTCTGTAACGCCCATGGATGTGACGTGACAACAATGTCAGGGATGCCAGTGGACAAAACTAAAGTCTCTAGATCATTAAAAAAGAATGCAGCTATGATCTGTCCGTACCCTGTTAAGATGACTTTAACGTCAATTTCCATCAAGGGACCCTAGTACGCTACGCGTCGGGAGACAACACAATCTGGAGCTAAAGAACATTTTTCATTTTTTCCTTGTATAATGAATAACTATTTTTCCTGTAGTACAGTTTTTCAAACTACACAATTCGAAATAGAGTTTGTCAGCATTCAAGTACAGTTGTGCATGAAGAAGTCGTACAAGGTTTGTGTGGTGAAAACCTGCCTATGATGTTCCAGTTTTCATTAAAAAGTAGTATACCGTTAATGACAAAAATTGTTTGAATTTTTACACTACTTCTCAAAGTAGATAAGATTATTCAAGATTGACAAGTCTGACTCACAATAGCCTATAACTGCTGTATATTGTTTATGAACACAACATTACGTGAGTACGTTTTATTGAGATGTTTATAATTCCTCTGGTGTGACGACTCGTCAATTGTTTCGTCAGACTAGCTCTCGCTATAAACAATTTTATGCGCTTTCGGAACGTGGGGTTCTCATATTCGATGATAGATGGCGTGAACGATGATGGACAATTTCTTGAAAGATTTCAAAATGCGTTTCGAATCTTATTATGAAGATGAACTAGACTTTCGAGAATGTGTTTTCCTTCTTTCGGGACCTGAAGAGTCCCGTTGATGATGCTCTAATTGAATAATTGATGATGAAAAACATGAGAGAGGACGTAAAAGAGACAGCGTGCAACAAATAATCCGTGCGGAAACATCTTGATCGTGACTTTGACTCTGTCACGAGTGTCATATTTTCCGCATATTCAAGATTTTGTTCAAATTTCAAATAGAAATATCATAAATTAAGAGCATCAGTAGTTTATTGAGCAGGTATTGATATAATATTATCAGTTGAGTGAGTGTATTGTGCTTTCATCATGGAATGACTGCTGCAATGTGTGAGGATTATTTGAAAGTCAATATGAAAAAATATATACTCATGACACAATAAACGGAGCAATTTATTCTCATTTGAATACTTGGATTGATTTTATTTTAATTATCATGTTATATTGTCATAACTTGTTAATTAGTTGATTTTTATTGTTTTATATACACACACTGGCACAATTAGGAGAACGGGCAAAATTTACACCAAGTTTGACATCAATTTTCTTTCGAACCGATCGCTCGATTCAAATTTTCTTCTTCACGAAATGTAGCTTCATTCTTCACGAATACATCTGAGAAATAATTACCTTCAAACGATGAGTCTTTCCATCATATACAGGGGTGTAAAGAAAGTACGGATTTTTCGGTAATTTTTCAGACATCCTGTGGACTGAACCACTGATAATTGAAACGATTTCTCAACACCAACTTGGAGCCCAATCTATTCCGAATATTTTCGTATTTTATTCACCTTGATATCTCAATTATTCAAGAAAATACAGAGTCTCAAAGGAAAGGTGGATATTGGTATCAATTTTACACCTCAAAACTCAAATTGGATCTGAAAATGTGTCGTTTCTTGACTAACCTAACCTAACCGTGACTAAACCTCTGCCATAGGAGACAGAAGCAGTAAAATCAAATTGTTCATTTTGTTCACCTCGGCGATATAGTCTTTCCCTGCCATCTATTGAATTGGTGCAGATGCGGCTCTCATATGTCAAAAGAGCATTGGCCCACTGGTCATTTTCAATTAATGCTACAGCCCTCGCCACATCAGTAGGAGTCAAATCTCTCACGTTGAATTTTCATTAATCGAATTTATGAATTGTGAATCGCTTGACTTCGACAATAATTAATGACATTAACAAAATAGCCAACGTTGATTAACAAAAATAGCATTTCACCAAAAGAACATTGGAGCAACTTTAATCACCCCTGCATATTCATGAGAGTATTCGTATATGTGTCTTTGAACAGTAAACCGATAGGTAAAACTGTGAACAACATCTTGAAGTAAAAATCATCACAGAAACAGTTGAAAAACGACACGTTCTCCCCAGTTCGAGTTTCGAGGTGGTAAAATTAATACCAATATCCACCTCTTTTTGAAACTCTTTATTTTCTTGGATAATTGGGATATCAAGATGAATAAAAAACGAAAATATTCGGGATAGATTGGGCTCTAATTTGGTGTTGGAAAATCGTTTCAATTATCAGTGGTTCACTCCACAGGATGTCTTAAAGAATACCGAAAAATCCGTACTTTCTTTACACCCCTGTATATGATATAAAGACGAATCGTTTGGAGGTAGTTATTTCTCAGATGTATTCGTGAAGAATGAAGCTACAATTCGTGAAAAACAAATTTGAATCGAGTGATCGGTTCGAGAGAAAATTGATGTCAAACTTAGTGTAAATTTCACACGTTCCCCTAATTGTGCCACTGTGTGTATATATAGAAGTATCTGGAGAACGAAAAGACAGAACATCTTGAAAATTGGGTTTCTTCGATAATTGAACATCTCTATCCGTCTAAAATATTTTCATCGATACAGTGTTGCCACTTCTATCAGAAACAACTAGCAACTTCGTTATTTTAAATAGAGCACCCTGTATTTTATTGCATTTTTAGATTCTCCCTGAAAAGCTGATTTCATCGATGCATCACACTTGGGGTCTAGCAGGAATGATTACATAGATATAGGGTGATCAAAATCGAGATTTTTCAATTTCAGGATTTTTTTGTGTCAAAAGTATTCATTATTGATCAAAACGGCTTACATGTCCCTATCTTAACTTTCGATTCACTATCTACTGACATTTAATTGTAACAGATACAGGGTGATCAGAATTCTGAATCTTGAAGCACCCTGTATTTTTTTCAATCAAATTCCAGTAGATAGTCAATCAAAAGTTAAGATAGGGACATGTGATCCGTTTTGATTGATAATGAATAGTTTCGACACAAAAAAATCCTAAATTGAAAAATCTCGATTTTGAACACCCTATATCTCTGTTATCATTCCTGCTAGACCTCAAGTGTGCTACATTGATGAAATCAGCTCTTCAGAAAGAATCTAAAAATGCAATAAAATTCAGGGTGTTCCATTTGAAATAACAAAGTTGCTAGTTGTTGCTGATAGAAGTGGCAACACTGTATGATGAAAATATTTTAGACGGATAGAGAATGTTCAATTATCGAAGAAACCCAATTTTCAAGATGTTCTGTCTTTTCGTTCTCCAGATACTTCTAATAGGCCATCCACCGTGGATCACCCTGTATATATATCATATGTTTATGTATCCCTATCATAAACAAATATGTTTCTTGGGGTAATAAAAAACAACAACAACAACATTCGTTTTATTTTATGTACCAAAAGTGAGTAATAAACTATTATCACAGGATTTTCTTGAGTCAGGACTAGGTATTGTTCATGAATTCACTATTGAAAGTCGAAAATATTGCGTACCGTTTTCATTTAAACAAAAAATTGTGAAAATGAAATTAAGAACTCAAATGAATGTGTCATGATGCCTGTAAATTTGGTTTGAAACTTCGGAAATATATCAATTCACCGACGCCTCGCTCTTTTTACAAAGAAGGCGATATCCAGAGATTTCGAAACTCCTTTCAATAGTAAGCGATAACACCATTTGACTTTCTATACATCTATCCTTGTACAACCCGAACAAAGCTCGACCTTGACCATTTAATCAAAGGAAAAATGTTAGCAGCAACATAATGGGCCAGCTGGAATTCCACGTGCAGAACTAGACTTTCAAGGATGTGTTTTCCTTCTTTCGGGACCTGAAGCCGTTGATGGTGTACGAATTCAATAAATGATGATAGGAAGCATCTAGAGACAGGACGCAAGAGATTCAGAGCGCAATAAATAATCCGTGACTATCACGAGTGTCTTATTCAAGATTTTGTTCAAATTTCGCAAGATTCTCCCACGCCTCGCTATTTTTACAAAGTTGGCGATAACGAGAGATTTCGAAACTCCTTTCAATTCGCGATAGAACATAACACGTCGCCCCACCTGAGTGGCAACTGAATACTTCTGAGCGGTTTGTTTTGATGATATGACCAATGAGCACAAACAAAAAACGAATGTGAACCAATGAAAACAAAGTAAACATGCGGCTTTGACAGCTTTCAAGGACTCCGATAGGTGGGGTACGCTTTCTATCGCGAATAGGAAGCGAACACCATTTGACTTATTATACATCTATCCTTGTGCCAGAACAAAGCTCGATCTTGACCATTTAATCGAAGGAAAAATTTCAGCCGCAACATAATGGGCCAGCTGGGCTTCCACGTGCAGCCAGACGGTGTGGTGACGCTGGTGGAAATGCACGGGCAGGCGTGGCAGGCAGGGCTGCGTCAGAACTCCAGGCTCGTCGAAATCTGCAAGGTAAATGATAATACAATACAAAACAATACAAAAAAGAACTATTTCCAAATCAAAATGACAATCCATCCAAAACAGACTCTCAAATAATGAACGATATGATAAACAAAACGAGAAAAACACATGAAATAAATCTTCAATATAACGATCGACTGATAGAAAACACAAATGAAATTGCCAAAATTTTCAGCGAATTCTTTCACAACGCCCTCTTAGAAACAATAAACAAAATAAACAATAAGTCCGGTAAATACTCACGTTTGAAACCTCTAATGAAATTACAAAACAAATCAATTAAGTGCATTTTTCATCTACATTTTCTAGAACCAACGATAAATTTATACAAACCAAGACATTTTCTGAACCTGATTTCGTTATATAAACTTAAAATATGTTGCTTTATTCATTTTGCCAGGAATAAGTTGAAAATATCAAATTTAGCTTTCAATGAAGTCAATACAGTCCATAATTATGGGACTAGACAATTGAATTACTTGATTGCAAATACATTCAAGTCAAACATTGGCAAACAATCTGTTTTTCACAATGGAATAATTTTATACAATTCATTACCGAATGAGTTAAAAAATATACATGATGCAAGAAGGTTTAAAATCAATCTTAAAAAATACTTGCTCAGGACAATTTGAAAGGAAAATATGTGGCATGATTTGATTACTTAGGAATGAAATATAACTTTAATCTTATAAGACACAATATTAATTCGTTTCCACTGAGTGGAATTCATTATAGTTATCCCTTTATTATTATTTTTTTTTATATGTATTTATGTATCCCTATCATAAGCAGAAATGTTTCTTGGGGTAATAAAGACAATCAATCAATACTATTGATCAGGTCAAAGATTCTATATTTTTGACTCCCTTCACTGAACTAGAATTATTGGAGCTGCTAAAATCCAAACTGAATAATAAATATTCTTCGGGTTGACGATATACCCACTTTCATCCTGAGAAGGGTGTTAGATTCGATAGTGAAACCAGCCACATATCTGATTAACCAATCCTTCGAATCGGGGATCCACATTGCTTGAAAATTGGAAGAATATCTCCTATATATCAAAAGGGTGATCATCACCGAACAGAAAATTACAGGCCTGTTGTAGTACCGGTACTTTCTAAGCCTTCCTTCACAGACTTCTCAGTTTCATAAGAGCGATTAAAATTATATCTGATAATCAGCATAGTTTTACTCAGAAAAAATCAACATCCTCAACAATTCAATCATACTACTTGAAAATAGCAAACTATGTAGACGTAGGCGAGTGCCCTGTAGGATTTTCTATAGACCTGAGCAGGGCATTCGACTGCGCAAGTCATGGAATTCTTGTCGAAAAACTGTACAGATACGGAAAAAGAGGAATCGCTCTCGCATGGATATCCAGTTGTCTATCAAATTTGTCTCTTTGAAGAATTCTCGATCTAAAGCCAAGAATGTAACCCTGGGAGTGCCGCAGGGGTCCATGCCTGCTTCGATACTTTTTAACCTCTATATGAATGATATAAATCCATTGAATGTTCCAGCATCCCTCACCTGTTATGCTGACGAAACCTCGATAATGATCTCTGAGAGGGCTGACAAAGAACTAATAGGCACAATCGACAATACTTTCTGCAGGTTGCAGAGATGCATGGTTTTCAGATTATTATTTAAACGAAAATTACTGTGCTAAATCTCATAACTAAGAGATCTAGGATGAACAGAGTTGCCCCAATTGTCAGCAGGAGCGAGACAGTACTGTTTCCACCCACCAGGTCTCATCAGCCGCTCTCGGTCTGCTGACAACTGGGACAACTCTACGCTTCGGGTATATCACCCATTTCGAAGACGCAGGGTATAACATGAAATTGTAGTCATGTTGTAGCCATCTTGTGGCAAAGCTCTGAGGTAGGATACAGAGATATCGCGACATACACTGTATGGCGCTGCCATCTATAGTCACACGTACAGACCCCTACGTCTATACGCTACAGAGTGGTACTACAAGTAAATCACTCTGCTGACAGATGGCACTACCTGACATACTTGAGTGGAATTTTTCCACCACCTATTCAACTGCTAAAGTTGAAAAATTCCACTCAAGTATGTCAGGTAGTGCCATCTGTCAGCAGAGTGATTTACTTGTAGTACCACTCTGTAGCGTATAGACGTAGGGGTCTGTACGTGTGACTATAGATGGCAGCGCCATACAGTGTATGTCGCGATATCTCTGTATCCTACCTCAGAGCTTTGCCAAAAGATGGCTACAACATGACTACAACTTCATGTTATACCCTGCGTCTTAAAAATTACTGTGTTGAGTTTGATCTCAGTGGAAATGATTAGATTAGGTGGCACTTTTCCCACTCTTCAGCAGGGAGTTTATCAACCAATGTGATCCATCAACAATCATTTCTTACTCATAATAATTGGAATGTCGCTCATTGTGGATTATACAACGCGATACACAAGAACCTGCCTATTTCTCTGAATGGAAAATATGAAGAATTTTATTTTCTCTACTCAAGAAGTCATTATTGATCCCCTGTACATTCATTCATTCGCTCTCATTCTCATAATTGTTGATTTTATTTGAGACTTTTAGGGTGTCTTCCTATCTATCAAATCTTTTAGATTTGTGACGTCTTATTGTGGACATTTATTTCCTCCTATATGTGATAATACAAACTGACCAAATCATTTTAATGAAATAATGGGGCCAACAATAGTAACTCAAGTTCCTATACAATCCTAGTACCATCCTTCAAATAACCAAAGCACCAAAATACCACAAGGAATCAACAAAACTCACCAAAATACCTGTTCTGGTGGAATGGACGAGTTCAGCAATTCATTGCCAACCTGGAAAAGCTATAAACGTCTACCAGGGAAAACAGATTATTTTCATAAAATATTGATACCCTTTTTGTCATCGATTTTTGTATCATCCAGGAAGTCCTCCGCGTCTGAATCACTGAAAATTATAAAAACTTTGATATCAAGTGATTTTGAGGACATTTCAGTCATCATATTGTCTGCCAGTAAGATGAATGACACATTTTTGTTTTGTTCTGTGACCCCTGTGACCGTTGTTAGGTTAATTGAAAACAAATCTATTTAAAAAAAGCATTCAAGAATTCAAGTAGGTAATGAGTAGTTGAGTCGTTTCTGATAGGTTCATTTTGGAAAAATAATAAAGGCTCAAGATAATATTTACACGGGTGCACAGGTACTTCTTGAATGTCTTTAATGTCTGAGTCATAGATAAACTACACTGAATGGGAATTATAAAGATTCTTGAATGCTCTTTTTTTAACTGTTTTGAATTCACGCAGAATTAACCTAAAAACAGTGACAGGTGTCACGACATCACGGCATCAAACAAAAATGAGTGTCATTTTTTACAGGCAGCCAATATGATGAACTGAAATAACCTCAAAATCAGTTGACATCATAGTTTTGATAATTTTCCGCGATCCGAGAGTCGGGGGACTTTCTGCATGATACAAAAATCTATGAGGATACAAATGCATCAATATTTTATTAAAATAACCCGTTTCCAGGGGTAGAAGTTTTAAGCTATTTTCAAGGTTGGCAATGAATTTCTGAACTCGTCCATTGGCCAAGTCAGAAAGCCAAGAAACAAAGAAGAAGAAAAAATGCCAACCTGACCTCATCCTTCAAAATATTGTGAATTCTCATTGGGCATTAGTGCAAGTTTACTTATGTTTAAGGTTGCCGTAGCGACTCTCACCTACGATCAAATGGTGGATTTGCTGAAGACATCCGTTACTGTGATGCTGACTGTGATACCGCCGCTGCCTGACGGCTCGCCAAGGAAGGGCTGTACGCTGCAGAACTGCAAGGTAAGAGCAATAGCCCGTTTCTCATAGTAATAGTAGAAACTCATCAAACCAGGGAGATTCTATTACAGGAATCGAGTCGAATCGGCCACCTTTATTCGATATTCAGTTTCTCGAATGAATCGTGTAAAATCGACTCGACTCCTCGATAGCTCAAGAGGAGTCGAGTCAATAGTACGGTTTTATTTGTTCTATTCTGGTAGCGGTGGTAGGAACAGAATGACAATTGCAAATAAAACGAGAAATTTCTTGACCTTGCATGAGAGAATTGACATATTATAGAGGATAGAGGTTAAATTTATATATTGGGGCTCCTAATGATTTCAAAATCAATATACTTGAGTTGAGAATCTAGAAAATGAATCAAGGAATATTTGGAGCTGTGACAAACTTTTCTCAGACCGAGAGTATTCATTTTATCTAGGAATGAACATATGAAACCAGTCTTACTTGAAAGGATCATAAACTCGCGAACCTTCCGATAAAACTGTCATCTATACCTTTTCAACTTCAATTTCGGAATCGGTGAGTTATATTTCGGAAAAAGTAATCTCGATTTCAGAATTGGTTAGTTCGATTTCAGAAATGGTAAACTCAATTTCAGAATCGGTGAGATGAATTTCAGAAAAAGTCCATTCAATTTCAGAAATGGTAAGTTGTATTTCAGAATTATTATTGGTAGGTTCAATTTCAGCACATGAAATCCTTTCATATGTTTGGGAAGTTTTCAATTGCAAAAGAGAAGACTGTTTACAGTGGATGGAACGGTGTTTGAGAGCCTTATGTTGAATCAGATTGAACATATATGGGGTGCCTTCAAGTCAGAAGTGAAGAGCTTCTTGCAAGAGCATCGCCAAAGGGTCATAGCTGGAGATCCGAACAGATTGCTCAACCAGATAGAATTCAGACTGCGATGTCTTGAAGAATGTGCAGATCCTACAATGAAAATGATAACACCTCAAATGTGTTTGCATTCTTATAATCATGTGCAAAGCCACTATCTTCCAGCGATTCAGATGGAAGGCATCTGTGGATTAAATTGTTTTTGAAAAGTTGAATATTTTAAATATGGTTTGGTAATCTCACATGCAATTGGAAACATTTCGAACAAATATAAGGATTTTTTTTCATGATATTGAACCTACCAATTCTGAAATACAACTTACCATTTCTGAAATTGAATGGACTTTTTCTGAAATTCATCTCACCGATTCTGAAATTGAGTTTACCATTTCTGAAATAGAACTAACCAATTCTGAAATCGAGATTACTTTTTCCGAAATATAACTTACCGATTCCGAAATTGAAGTTGAAAAGGTATAGATATCTTCTACTTTAAAAAAAGTTTCGTTTTTCGTCATTCTAATTTAATTCTTTGACAACTTTCAACAGTCATTCCACGTCATTTCTAATATTGAATGGAATGTAGCGACCTGAATCGGAAAAGTTGCAAATAAAACGACACAATAAAGTGATTCCGGATTCTACATTCTCTTGAAAAAATGCCTCATAAAACGATGTTTCCTCGCAGTACAACGAGACGAACTACGAGGGCGACTACGATAACACGAGCACCGCCCACACGGGAGGCGGCGGCGAGGACCCTTCGGACCCGCCCGGCAACAAGGGGGCGGGTCGTGGGGCGGGCGGACAGGCGCACTCGGGCGGCCATCATAGGCGCGTCTACGAGCGCAGCTTCTCGCCGCCGAGGAGCAGCAACAGCTCTGGGTACGGCACGGGGAGCAGCAGCAAGAGTTTTCACGGGGTAGAGGGGGGTGGGAGGTACCAGGGGAACGGGGTTGAGGTGAGTTGAGTTTCCACAAATTTCTCAATAGCACGACATGTTCCGCTACTATGGTATCTGCTGTTTTGATGTTTTTTGTATATAGGTCGCGTGCACGATGACCGACCCTGGAGGCAAAATATTGAAACACAACCTCATTCTTCTGTGAATTATTGAAACACAACCTCACTTTTTTACTTGGTTACAGAGGAATCAAAGGATTGAACTAGTTTTTCACAATATTTTGGCATACGAATCGTGTTTTTTGCGCTATTCATTAATTCGAGCATGCCTTCGCATTGTGCTGTTGTACAATGCACAAAAAATGCAGCAAGAGACTAAAGAATATGATTTTTCAGGTAAATAGTAATCTCACATAGTTATCATTATGAAATGTTGTCATTCCTTATTAAAATTCCTTCTGCCTTCTGTCACTTCTACATACAAGCTAATACTGCTAATAGATTGAAAATGTCTACAACACACACGATCGTCAGCATGTCAGACCAGTCCTCCCGATTGATTGCATGAATTCAATCTTCTTGCATTATTCTAGAAATTTCAGGTATATTTTAGCTCCTATTGCAGAAGGAATTCCGATGAGAAATCAGAGAAAATAACCTTTCTAAAATGAAAACTATATGTGAGTGACTATAGTAGGTACTTACTTTTAAATCATATTGTACCAACCGGATTACTTCGTCTTCCGCTGCAGTTTTTGTGCATTTCACAACAGCATAAGCGAATTGATGAATAGCGGAAAAATACGATTCGTATGCCAAAATAATTATGAAAAACTATTTCAATCACTTGTAAACAAATATGTAAATTGACATTTGTGTTTCAATATTTTGCCTCCAGTGTCGGTCATCTGACAGTTCTTGCACGCAACCTATTAGAGTACGGACACTATGACAAGCACTGACAATCAAACATAACCACAAACGGTTTTGAAGCAAATCATATGTTTTGCCAGTCAAGGACAAGAATATGTTTTCCGCTTGTATAAAGGATTCTCGTATCTTCCGCCCTCCACAAGTCCTGGGAAGAGTACATCCATATATCTTTCTCTGTCTTTGATTTTTGTATGAGAGTGCATAGCGTCTCCTCAAGTGGATAAAAGGGCACGATAAATTGATTAGAAAATTATTTCTTCTCGAAATATTGAATGATAAGGCTGAAGAACCTCAATGGAGGTCGATATCAAGTTAGTAGGTACATTATACAGGGTGTTTCATGAGAAGACTCACGTAGCCAAATGGTTAATAGGGGAAATCAAGACGAGTTGATGTATATATAAGAAAACATTTCTTGACCCTCCAAAACGAAGATACAGGGTATCATGTGAAATTGCTATATAATTTTGATGGTCGATTTTACAGAAATGGTTCGTCGTAATCTGCTGACATTTGGCAGCGATGTATCTCTACTGAAACGATTCAAGATAACATATTATGAAAAAAAATATCCAGGTCCGGACTTGGGAAAATTTTATGATTCATTGTTATGTCAAAAAAGTTCACTTTGTGACCACTTTTCTCGAAAAATTCCATCAGATTCAGAAAGATCAGAAAAAATGCTATAGGAACTGCAATTCAATTTACACGGCACACTTTGACCGGTCCAATAAAAAAATATGGAACAAAAACGTTGGAATGAATTTTCAATTTCGACCAGGCTGATAACTTTCAACTGGATTCGTGTAAATTGATTTTTTTGTGAATTTTTTTTGGATAGAAATTGACAGAAGAGATTAGTTCCTGATTTTTTCATGATTTGAAATGTTAGTTTTTGATATGATAAAGTTGTTATAAAGTGGGCCCTGCTTTTATTTTATGTAACGTGGCGTTTTGTGATAGGTAAACACTGGTAATCGAAATATTCTCACACTCTAGGCGCCACTTCATATTCCAAATGCTGAACAAGACGAAAATCCAAATGCTGTGCTATGTTTAATACCATAGAATATGTTGCAGTAAAACCTTCACAAGGATGAACATTAGGAACTTTGATAGAATAGCAAATGCATCCTCATATCACTTGCAGAAGTGTATCAATAACAAAAAATTGGGCTAAGTTTATGCGTGATGGCATAACTAATTTGATAAATCACCATAATATGGGCACATGAATCCTCATGTCGTAATTTCATCAGTTGGTACCTACCTAGTACCTACCTATAAAATCGGATTATCAACAAACGTCACATCTCGTCACACAAATAGAAAACAGGACCTACTAGATATCTCAATTCAAGCGACACCCATAAAACAAAGTCAGGAATAATAATATCTATCTGGAATTTCGATACCAGAATATCGTGTTCTTCCTTCTCGTCTATGTTTCTGTCAATTACTATTCAACAAGAATGTAGAAAATATCAATTCACATGATACTAGGTGAAAGTTGACAGTAATCAGCCAGGTTGAAATTTAAAATTCATTCGAGCGATTTTGTTCCATATTTTTTTATTGAACCGGTCAAAGTGTGCCGTGTAAATTGAAGAGCAGTTTTCATAGAGTTTTGCCTGATCTTTCTGAATCTGTTGGAATTTCTCGAGAAAAGTGGTCACAAAGTGAACTTTTTTGACATAAAAATGAAACATAAAATTTTCCTAAGTCCGGACCTGGATTTTTTTTCATAATATTTTATCCTGAATCGTTTCAGTAGAGATACGTCGCTGCCAAATTTCAGCAGATTACGACGAATCATTTCTGTAATATCGACCATCAAAGTTATATAGCGATTTCACATAATACCCTGTATCTTCGTTATGGAGGGTCAAAAAATGTTTTCTTATATATACATCAACTCGTCTTGATTTCCCCTATTAACCATTTGGCTATGTGAGTCTTCTCATGAAACACCCTGTTTATATATCAACGAAATACATATAGTATTCCTATGAAATCAGTCTCTTATATGTAGGTATATAAATTCGTTCAGTTGAATATTTGTTTCTCACAAAAGTTCAGAATAGGGTAAAAAACTGATACATTTCAAGAAACATGCTTTAAATTAGTGTGGAACAATTTTTCTTGTACAAGAGTGGTAGATAATAAGTAATTAATAAATAAACAAATGATATGGCAACAATAACAACTGATTTTAGTTTAGGATAAATAATATAGGTTCTCCAAGACATACGGAAGTAGGTATAAATGGACTTCAGCGCTCGACTCCCTATAGATCGCCGTTCACATTGCTAAAGGGGATTGTTGGTTGAACCCGGCCAACCGTAGATCATTTTCAATACCTAACATAAATGGTGCACTTGTTAAGTGTTCTTGTTCTGTGCTCTGATAATATCTTGCTCGTATCTTGGTACCCAAGAAGTGGTTCATAATCCACTAGGAGCTATGTTGTCGTCTAGCACTTAACTACGCATGAACATGCACATTCAGACTTGGGATTTCAACTTTGAAGAAGTGATACACGAACAATATATTCAACTCTTTGATATAGACACATCAATAGCTGGTACATCCGAGTTCCGCAAAGTGACTATGTGTTTTCACAAAATTATTATAAGAGTTCGTATACGAAGATGATCTAAAGAATTCTTGGTTGAACAGAGATGTGAAATCAGTTTGAGTCAGTCAATTCAGGAAGTTGCTGCTATTTTATCATCAGATTATCGACCATAATCTACATGGTGACTATTGTGATCTCTGCTCCATCATTCCATCACAAGCAATAACCAGAGTCTAAAATGGAATAAGGTTCTTTTCGATACTCGCTCAGTTTATGAATTGTGGGTTCGGCTCTTTCTCTCAATACGATCCTATTCTTCAACTTCATACCAAGGAATTCAAATACCTCGCAAATTTTGTGGCTTGAACCTATATTCCATGCCGGCTGCATCATATTCATGGAAATTCGAATAGAGTGAATTGATTTCCCATGTTCTCACAGTTGGAAACTGCACTAACTTGCATCTTTTTCCTAATTCTCTCAATTTGTCAAACCTGTTTCCGCTTTTTCCATCAATTTATTTGTGGTTATGTCTGATTGTCAGTGCTTGTCATAGTGTCCGTACTCTGATACACAAAAAACGCCAAAATCAGCAGTGTCAAGTACATTTAGGAACTCTAAACGTACAAACTACACAGGGTACACGTGGTCAATATCAAGGGTTCAAAAAAAGTTCTTTATGGGCTAGACAGCCGTTTACGATGTCAAAGAGCTGTCATTTTGATTCAGGCTTTACAGAAAAAACAAATTAAAAATTTTTAGCTCAGTTAGCAAAGTTTTCAATTTAACCAAACACTATTATTTGTTATTCGATATTGACGCTTTTGTTCCGTTAATATACTACTATATCACCACCACATGAATCCAGAATTTTGTTGAACAAAAAATTATTAGATTTCAAAAGTTCAACAGACAAATATTATGCTTGGCAACATTTTTCGCTATCCTTACTTGAAGCATTGAAGATGATGGAATCCAAAAGCTATCTATAAATAAATATTCAAACATGAGAGAAATATTTTTCCATTCCATTAGAGTTTCTATATTATTCGGTATTCGATAATTTTTTCACTAGGTATTGACTTTCAAAATAATATTAACTGCTTCCCCTTTTCAATTTCGTTCGGACAGTCTCAAGTGATATAAATAAAGTTCCTATGCTTAATTTACCGAACTACTCTAGTTACTAATATTATTCCTATGATTAGTGTATGTCATAAAATTAGTGCTAAATGAGTAATATCTGATTATCTTGCTTAGCTTGTGACTAACAGGAGTTCTTATTGTAAGTAAGGCTTGTTGACTGTAGATGTTTCATATTAGCGCTTTCATAGGTTAGATTCACTGTAGTAAGCAGTTTTTCAACACAATGTTGTGTCTAGGAATTATTAGATCCGAATTATGATTTAAATTATTTATAGATGATATTACGGTTTCTAAACGGACATGAAGAGCATGAATACTGCTACTGGAATAATGATTCAAATTGATTTGAACAATATTCCTTCTGCTATGTTTTCACTGCTTGTCAGATTGTATGTACTCTACTAAATGTTAGAACTTATATTAAATGACTCTACTCCCTAGCCTGGACACAGTAGCTTTGTGAATATAAATTTGTATGTGCAGATGAATGGAAATATGATTCTTATTTATAAAAAAAAAGAGTCAATATCCCAGTTGAAAATTCGCTTTTTATAATTTATATGAAATACTGAGAGAGAAAGATCGATGTCTCAAACAACCTACAACAATGTTTTGACTAGCCAACTGTTGTTGATGTTTTAGAATTATGTTTATAAAACTTCTTGCCTTTGGAGAGAAGTTTCATTATTCAATATGAACTTCATGAATGATAGGCTGTTTTATAGTTATTCAGTGGTGCATGATATTAGGAACTAAGTAAGGCTTTCCAATCAATTTTAAATCATTTTTGTTTTTCACATTCCTCGACTAAAAATATAATAATTCAGGATATTCATTTGTTTTTCCATCTTAATGACCGGGTCTTGAATATAATAATTCATATAGTCACCAGATGATTCCACAACATACCTACTTCGTTAATAATAATGAAATGTCAATACTTGATAATTGAATCATTGTATTCTATATTATAACTGACATTTCTCTAGATATTTTGATAATTCTTTCTCGTTTTTATAAATAAGACTAAGATTATCATTTCCATATATTTACAGTATGGATTTCTCAGTAACATATTTTTTTCGCCATTAACATTACTCAAACAAGGTAAGAGTTTCCTCTTTTGGGTTTTGGAAGTGGAATTTTCAACGCAGTGACATCTTGGAGCAAATCCTCAAACATTTAAGTTTTAAATACGAGGAGAAAATTCCCAAAAAATCTAGAGACATGAAACCTTTTTGTTAATCTGTGGCAATGTAGTCTATGCACTTTATCCATAGAAAACAGTTTGTTTTCCCCTAGGGTCACTTGATGGAAATTGACGTTGAAGTCATCTTAACAGGGTACAGATCCTCGTCTCCTCTCACTCTGAAGTGTTTGTGAAACAGTTATATAGCTACATCCTCATTCAATTCTGGGGATAAACACTAGAGTTTTGACATTCGTTGTTTTTTAGGTTATATTGAGGTCACTGGCGTATCATACGTAATTTCCATATGGAATTCCTGATTCAACTATACCAAGATATAGATGAACAATCCTCTAGCTCTAGAGTTTACTACTCCAGCATAATCTTTGCGAGGTAGGGAACATATGAATTGTATTGTAAGCTTAATATATTTCACCAAAAGAGACTGTTCTTAGACAGTATACCAGGGTTGACTGAATTGACTGAATGAATTCTGATTTCATGCTGAGCAGTAGTTTATCTATGAGCTGAATGAGCTGAGCCTTATGACTGAGAAATGGTGGAAACCTCGATGATGTGGGTATCTAAACTACTGTACTCATATCATGTGTGCTAAATATAATTTCGGAAATCCAACTCGGAGTGACTTATATCACACTATGTATAAAACTTCGTCTAGGACGAAAAGTTAGCTGATGAAAAGTAATACGTAAAATGTGCAGGAAAATGAAGAATAGATTATACTTCACCCCCATGTTATACATATGATTTTTCCGTCTCCCTTAAATGAAAAATAATTTTCGAATAATTTATTGATGAAAGTAACAAAGAAGTAGGTATGCGCAGTGTAACATATAGGCACTTTATTTTCACTCTTGAATCCTACATATTTTCTATTTGTGGTAGAGTAATAATTATATAAACTAATGTCTTTCGCCATATTGAATCCGTCATCTTGAAAGAAAACCCCCAAATACCAATTTTGAATAGAATTGGATCTTCATTACAAAACTTGTCCACCCTATTCGATCCGCCATCTTGAATATCCCAATTATGACGAAATAATTATAATCTCCGACTCCGGGAATCCCCAGATACCAATTTTGATTTTTGAATAGAATCAGATCATATTAACGAAATTCGTTCGCCATTTTGGATCCGCTATCTTGAATTTCCCAATTTTGACAAAAATCATAAAGTTCGACCCCGAAAACTCTCAAGATACCAATCCTTAATAGAATCAGATAATAATAAGAAATTTCTTTTGTTATATATTGGATCCAACATCTTGAATTTTCCAAGTTTGACGAAACAATCATTATCTCCAACCCCGGAAAACCTCAGATACCTTCCAATTTTGAAAAGAATCGAATCATAATTAATTGATCTTTCTCAACAAGTAAATACCCTGTACATTCCTATTATTGAAATTTTGAATGATTTCCTGTAGCGCCCATGGTTGTGACGTGACAGCAATGTCAGGGATGCCAGTAGACAAAACTAAAGTCTCTAGATCATTAAAAAAGAATGCAGCTATGATCTGTCCGTACGCTGTTGAGATGACTTTAACGTCAATTTCCATCAAGGGACCTTATTTTCCCTCAGTTTGAAGTGCGTATTATGTCCCTGTATATACCTTAGATAAGAGTCCGGACACAGCTATACTTCTGTCCTTTTCTGTTTTCAAAAAATGCATTGATGATTGAATAAAGGAATAAGACATATATATCGAGCTCTGTCAGAAACAATTTTGAGGGTTAGATTATTTGTCAAACCGTTCATAGCCGTTAGGTAGAGGTGAGAAATAGGGCTATTCAACTATAATAACTATAAAATAATAATAATAACTTGAATCCCTTTTCTAATGAATTATCGCAATAATGTACGCAGCAGGACATTGAAATAATTTGAAATGCTAAATTTTGGCGGTCATAAAATTTCAAAGTGACAGTGACATAAATTCGAAATAATTAAAAAAAGCGGGCGGGACGACTATGGTGTTTCGTCACATTGTCAGGTGGGCCAAATGAAACAAAATATTGAAAATCCCAACAGCTGTCAGTTTTGTGTCCGGACTCTTTTGTAAGGTATGTACAGGGACTCTAGTATTATGTAACCTAGATGTCGCCCACTTCGTGAATCTCGCGAATACACATTATCATCAGTTCTACCAACCTTGATTTGAATCGTCTATCGATCGATAAAACCATCCGATCCTTTCCAGGGAACCTTGGCCAGTTTGTCTAGCGTCCATTCCGGTGAGGGCGACAAGTGGTACGACATCCTGCAGGATTTCGAGGCGCCGTTCGTCCCCCTCAAAACCCACCAGCACTCCTCCACCTCCTCCTCCTCCTCTTGCACCAACGTCCGCCACGTGAACAACACCTTTCCGGGCACGCCGAAGCGCAACGACGTCCATCAGGCGGGCCACGGTCACCACCACTACACCATCCAACACAACAAGGTACGAGTTACTCTTTTTTATTTTGGATTCACATCGTAAACTACTCAACACTAATTTCGTCGCACACCAAAATGTCGCCCCTGTTATAATGTGAATAACTTTTTTCAGTTCAGAATAATTTGAATTTGGTTTACACTGTTCGATAGCCCAGTCCTTCAGCTATAATCTGGTACTTCATTGAAACATAAGGGTATTCACATAAAATCTCTACATGGTGTTTTCCGACACTGTGCAAAATTTCGGAATATTCAAAAGGCTCTCAAATGATGAAAATATTTTTTTTCTCAACTTCGACAACAGATGCATGAAGATGATCTCATTACCTCGAGATATTTCGCGAATCAACTTCCTATCTCTCTTATTTACAGAGTGATCTCAATAAATCAACCTTTTGGTTTTGCAGCCATAACTTTTTTCCACGTCAACCGATTTTGGAAATCTTAGGCTCATTTTGAAGATAAAACTTCCGATGAAGACATCTGGATATCAGAATTGACTCAAGATGGCTATCAAAGATCTAGAGTTTTCTTGAAAGTGACCCAACTCTGGAACGGCCTCCGAATCTTGGTTGGGAAGAGAATTGAATGAAAATCAACTTGTTCTCGGAAAAACAATTCATTCTGGATGCGTCCATATTTTCCTCGCTCTCAGTAGTCAATAATTGTGCGTGAGAAAACACAATTGAAACAATCATGTTCTTGCAAAAACATTAGATCATTTCTCCTGTAACCAACGTTACAAGAATCACAATGAGTGACTGACAAACCCGACCAGCTGAGGCTCATCATAAATGGTGTACCAACAAGAGCAACGGATTTTGATTTTTTTAATAAAGTGATTTTTTAACAGTTGTCACGTACATAACATGCGATTCAAGAATATGGAAAAGTATTCAAGCGAACAACGTCTATTTATTGTAAAAACGCATTTCAAAATTGGTGAAAGTTTCACGAAAACAGTTTGCCAATTACGTAAAGTTCTCAGTCGCAATAATGCGCCGAACGAATCGACAGTAATAACCAAACAATTCGTATCGGAGATAAGCCCTTTGAATGGATCGGACTGTTGTGTTTAGCAGATCCGCGATTCGGAGGAAAGATAACCCTTGTTCCCTCATTTGTGGAATCAGTTCCAACTGGTCGGGCGTTAGATGCGGCTAACCTGACTTGTCAATCACTTACTGTGATTCTTGTAACGTTGGTTACGGGCCATGCATTACAGAGGAGAAATGGTCTGATGTTTTTGCAAGAACATGTTTCAATTGTGTTTTCTCACGCACATTCTTAAGTACTGAGAGCGAGGAATATATGGACGCATCCAGAATGAATTGTTTTTCCGAGAACAAGTTGATTTTCATTCAATTCTCCTCCCAACCAAGATTCGGAGGGCGTTCCAGATTTGGGTCACTTTCAAGAAAACTCTAGATCTTTGATAGTCATCTTGAGTCAATTCCGATATTCAGATCTCTTCATCTGAAGTTTTATCTTCAAAATGAGCCTAAGATTCCAAAACCGGTTGACGTGGAAAAAAGTTATGGCTGCAAAACCAAAAAGTTGATTTTTTGAGATCACTCTGTAAATAAGAGAGATAGGAAGTTGATTCGCGAAATATCTCGAGGTAATGAGATCATCTTCATGTCTCTGTTGTCGAAGTTGAGAAAAAATTTTTTTTCGCCATTTGAGAGCCTTTTGAATATTCCGAAATTTTGCACAGTGTCGGAAAACACCATGTAGAGATTTTATGTGAATACCCTTATGTTTCAATGAAGTACCAGATTATAGCTGAAGGACTGGGCTATCGAACAGTGTGAACCAAATTCAAATTGTTCTAAACTGAAAAAAGTTATTCACATTATAACGGGGCGACATTTTGGTGTGCGACGAAATTAGTGTTGAGTAGTTTAGATCTGGTGGTTGGATTTTGTGGACTAGGCCGGCATTAGTAGAAATAGTTGAAGTAAAAACTGATGGTAACACTCATCATGTATTTATATCGAGAAGAAACAGAAACTTACGTAATCTGTAGGTTTAGTGCTGCACTTCGGTATGGCTGACTTCTCGAGCTAGCTCTGGACTGGACTGACGCCGGGTAATTGCACTTCATGCAACATGCAACTACAGGGTTTCACACTGTCGAACCATGCACCAATATCTAGAGTTCAGCTATGTAGCAGTTGAGGCAAGAAGCTAAGCAAATTAGCAAAAGATTATTACACATTCACTGCGACAACATGCGTTTTGGAAGCACCAAAATTAGACGAATTGTACAGGGTGATTAACCATAAATGTCTCCCCCTCTAGCTCACTCATTTTTCAACCGATTTGAAAATTTGAGAAAACATCTGTTGCATCAGAAAATCCAGGATGCTCGGAACAAACGATCTACTGAGTACTACTTGATTTTTTCAAATAGAACACCCTATATTTTATTGTATTTCTTGATTCTCCCTGAAGAGCTGATTCCATCAATGTATCTCACTTGGGATCTAGCGGGAATCATTACAGAGATATAGGGTGTTCAAAATCGAGATTTTTCTACTCTAGGATTTTTTTGTGTCGAAACTATTCCTTATTGGTCAAACGGGCTCTGAGGTCCCTATCTCAACTTTTGATTTACTATCTACTGACATTCAATTGGAACATATACAGTGTGGTTCAAGATTCAGAATTCCGATCACCCTGTGTCTGTTCCAATTATTAAATGTCAGTATAGATAGTGAATCAAAAGTTGAGATACGGACATGAAAGCCGTTTTAACCGATAATGAATGGTTTCGTCACAGAAAAATCCTTAAGTTGAAAATTCTCGATTTTGAGCACCCCATATCTCTGAAATCATTTTCGCTAGACCCCAAGTGTGATGCATAGATGAAATCAGCTCATCATGGAGAATCTAAAAATACAATGAAGAATAAGGTGTTCCATTAAAAAAAATTAAATAGCACCATGTAGATCGTTGGTTCCGAGCACCTTGCATTTTCTGATGTAGCAGAAAAAAACTCTATCGAAAATTATTTCAGATGATATTAAAAATTTTGCAATCGGTTCAAAAATAACTGAGCTAGAGGAGGGGACATTTATGGTGAATCACCCTGTACACTCCAAGCGATAGTGACCAACTGATTGACCGGAAGGGCTTAGAGGTCAACTGACGATACATGGAGTTGTTTCCTGCGTTTTCGCGATAACAGTGCTACCTGTATGTTTTGCGCATATAGTATTTTGTGTACCAAAACCCAACAGAAATAAAGATTTCGTATTTGTATTTTGTTCTAAGTCGGTATGCCATTTAAAGGACCCACTCACTTAGTCCATGTTAACAGGAAGGAGTGCCTCGGAGAGTCGCAACCCAGTCCTTGCCCCGGCCCTGACCTCACCTTTCGGTTGGAAAAAAGTTCAAAATTTTGTTTAAGAAGAAGCTCGGCAATGAAGTGCAATGATCTTATCTCACGAAAATTGGGGCGCTTGCCGGTTTGCATACGCCTAGGTCACTTCCCAAGGGCGGCATACGCACCGGAAGTGGCAATTTTTCAGTGTTATAGTCGATGATCTAAGAATGTATGCCCTTTGGCGAAACAATGAATTCGGACCCATTGATCAATTTCCCGACATTTGCATACGATTCCGGTGAGGGGAGCTCGACCTATTCGAACATCAATTGACTAGACATCTGCCAAATAATCGATGATCGAAGAAATGTTCAAATTTTGACCATGGTTAGTGGACCACACAGTATACATGAGATGATGGTTTGCATACAATTCGCACGTTCCGTACAGGGTGGTTCGCCATAAATATCTTCCATTGTAACTTAGTTGTTTCTGAGCCGATTTTAAAATTCCAAAAACCTATCAAAATGATTTTCCTAAGAGATTGTTATTACAAAATTCACAGGCTGTTCATAAAGAATGAACTATGGGTTAGTTTTGTTTTTTTTACTAGAACACTATATTTTGTTTCACTATCGCGTTGAGATTATCATGACGAATACAGCTCTACAGCATCTAGCGATATCATTTACACACAGCACTCTTATGGCGATCATGCGTCAAATTGTCAAATTGTGACAGAAATATGAATCCCGGGTTTGAAGTACCTATTTTCTTTTTTTTTTGCTGAATCAATTTTCATATCTGAACAATGATTTGCTGCGTCAGCCGGGTAGAGTGTAGCACGTAATGATTTAGGCATTCAATAATGTTTTTCTCTTTTATCGGAGATCCGATATTTAAATATCTCAAAAACCATTTACTTTTGTATAATGCATAAAATTACAGATTTATTCACTTCTTACCACCTCGCCTACCAGTGAAAAACAAAAATGTAGATTAAAGTTCAGGATACAGACCCCACACTATACCCAAAACATTCAACAAAATGAACATTCTTTATGTATTTTTTGAACGCCAGTATTATGATGAGCAGTCCCATAAGCCCCAGGGAAGAATTTCAATTCGATTTATTGTGAGTTTCGATCATGAGCAATAATCCACCCCTCTTCTCCCTGTACGATCCCTCTTGAGTATTTTGTCGTTAATTTTTTTTATCATTTTTTCAAAGCCTTGTTTTTCAAAATAAAATCACACAAAAAAATTTCTTGGTACTAAACCTCTCACACATGTAATTTTGTTGAGTTGTAAATTTCTGATGAATATATACAAATATATCTGCAATTTGCGTCATCGAATACCCCCATCACTCCCCAGGAAGTTAATCTTTCACCCGGTTTCATGTGAAGTGAGATTATGAGACTTCCAGATTATCTAGATCGCTTTCGGTGCACCTCTGGCCTGCAGTGCGGGGCGCCGCGCCGGACCGAGGCACGCGCGCGGGTTTGCCCGATTATTACAACGTATGCTCACATTGAATTCGTATGCAAATAGCATCTAGTTATACAGAATATCCTAGTTTATCGGTCCAGAGATTTGCATACGAACTTAAATCATCGATTATTTGAAAGATGTCTAGTCAATTGATGTTCGAATAAGTCGAGCTCCCCTCTCCGGAATCGTATGCAAATGCCGGGAAACTGATTAATGGGTCCCCATTCATTGTTTCGCCAAAGGGCATACATTCTTAGATCATCGACTATGACACTGAAAAATTGCCACTTCCGGTTCGTATGCCGCCCTTGGGGACTGACCTAGGCGTATGTAATCCGGCAAGCGCCCCAATTTTCGTGAGATAAGATCATTGCACTTCATTGCCGAGCTTCTTCTCAAATGAGAGAGAGAGAGAGAGAGAACATCTTTATTAGGGATATACCCCAAAAGGCCATTGACCGAAGTCTTTCAGCCCTTCTCAAATGAAATTTTGAAATTTTTTCGAACCGAAATATGAGGTCAGGGCCGGGGCAAGGACTGGGTAGCGACTCTCCGAGGCATTCCTTCCTGTTAACTTCGACTAAGTGAGTGGGTCCCTTAAATGGCATACCGACTTAAAACATCGATAAACCCTGTGTCGCGGGCCAACAGTCTATTAGGGCGTTTTTTGTCAATCAGTCTGTATTCAAACTACACATAAATAAACTGGTAGCACATTAAGATACACTACACTTATTATCACTATTATTATAATAATGGTTATTACTAAGGTACAGATGAGCAATTCGTTGCCGCTGCAGCACGTGGATGTGTCGCAGCCATTGAGCGCTGTCGTTCACAACAATGCGAACGAGCTGGAATTGTACAAACGACATAAGAACAACATCATCAAACAGCATAACGACAGACTGAGACAGGAGAGCGAATATGCGTATGCTAGGTGAGTTCTCCATTGTTATCAATCGAATTGAATTACTCGAACTGAAAAATGACGATTTTCAGGATATTCATATACTGGGTGTTTCCGAAATTAAGGCTATCAATGAAACGGGTGAAAGGGGACAATAAAACAAGTCGAAATGAAAGAATATATTTTTGTCAAAAACAATATTTTGTAAGTTATTGAGCTTCAAAGTTTTTGCTTTCGCCGAGATCACAAGCGCCGGAAGTATCAATGACTTTTGGAATGTTGCCGGACGTTCAATAATATTTGAAAAAAATCAAAACAATTGCGATTTGTCATGTCATTATGTCTCAAAGAACAGCTCATTTCAATCATCGCCGCAATTTCGGAAACATTCTCTAGAGTCTAGAGTTCTGATGGCCTAAGAAAGTGTTTCGGATCACACGTTGAAAGGTAATACCCCCGTCAGTCCTTGCTCGCACAAGTCTCTTGAAGTGAAGACTTCTGAGGGTTGTTCGTAAGGGGGTAACCGAATGATGAATAGAACAAAATTCTCGCTAGAGCTCAAGTGTGATACATTGTAGGAATCAGCTCTTCAGGAAGAATCTGAAGATGCAATAAATACAGTGTTCCATCTGAAACAGAATTTCTCCAAAACAACGTGACTCTGCTAGCCAATCGGAGTCCAGCATTTGGTTGAAGGCCACGCCCACTAACCGCAATCTACATCCATAAGAATGGAAACAACTATAATAACAAGTTGAGGTATGATATACAGGGTAGATCTGAGGAACCTGGTTCAGAGAAAAAAATTGAGATGATTAACCAACGTATGACGTATGACATATGACATTCGACAGATGACAGCTCACATATGATAGATAATATAAGCCGTTAATGATACGTCCGGTGCTCATTGAAACTAAACGCTCTAGTTCAACTAACGTTTGACGTATGACATTCAACAACTGACGTATACCACGTGATCTTCCGGTACTCGTCGAAAGCAGGCACTCGAGCCGTCGAAATGGCTAACGGTTCAGAATGGCGCTCAAATGACGATACGTATGATGTTTGACAGATGACGTATACCACGTGATCTTCTGGTGCTCGTTGAAAGCAGACACTCACGGTCGCCATAACCTACGAATTCGAACCAAACTGGCTATCGATTCGAAATGGCACTCAACTGACGATACGTTTGATGATTGACAGATGACGTATGCCACGTGACCTTTTGGTGCTTGTCGGAAGAAACACTCAGGGTCGACACAACCTACGAATTTTAATCAGAATGGCTATCGATTCGAAATGGCGCTCAACAGACTTTATGTGAGACGTTCGGCCTACTATTTATTGCTTCACCGATAGCAAACGCCCATATTCAGCGCAGCCAATGTATACTACATAAACTACCGGTACCATTAACCTCGGCTAAACAGATATTAAGGGTCGACATAACCTACGAATTTCAATCAAAATGGCTACCGATTCAAAATAGCTACCAATTCAAAATGGCGCTTAACTGACGATACATATCATGTTTGACAAATGACGTATGACACGTGACCTTCCGACTCAGGTCCGACATTACCTATGAATTTCAATAAAATGGCCATCGATTCAAAATGGCGCTCAAATTAGGTGAAACAGTCGCGATTACGATTTCCTGCCTCGACGATATATTTCCGCGGTGTGTGATTAAAGTTCGAATAACAATATTTCTCTCAATGGGAGTATTATTTCAATCTTCGTTTGTGATGCACATGTGATTCTGTATGTGTTTTCGTTGCCAAAAAACCTGTGTGTGCGTGTGTGAAAAGTGCATGGAAAAACTAGATACTGGAGCGGCCATTACTGCATAGATGGGCGTTACTCGCTCATTTCTGGATATAGCTGTTTTTCAATGAAATTGCTCAGTTGCTTAGTTTTCTGCTTTTTAGCCGAAAAAGGCATCAGTCTTAGAAAGGTAGATATTATTTGAATGGACACGAAAAACTATAGTTATTAAAAAGCATTGATTTTCAGCAGTGATTTCATTTCAGTACATCAAAATTATTGTACTTATAGTTACATACAGGTCTGAATTACAGAAAATCTTCGAACTGAGTTGAGAATTTAAAAAATGCTCAGCATGAATTTTGGGGAACTAAAACAACAGAGGCCAGTTCACAACATCACCAATAATAAGCGAAAATTTTCAAGAGATCTGTGTATAATAATAACTTGATGTACAAAGCGTTTCGTAAAACATTTTGGATTTCCAGTTTAATATTCTGTCAGATTTCAGCTAGCGAAAAAACCATGTATCTAAAATCGGATTTTATTCAGATACAGAGTGTTTCGTGAAACATTAGGATTTCCAGTTTTATTTACTTCTAGATTTCAGCTACCGAAAAAGTAAACATCATCTGAAATAGTATGTTATTCGAGTACAGAATATTTTTCTAGAGTTCCGGTACAGGGTGTTTCGTGAAACATCAGGATTTCTAGTTTTATGTACTGCTAGATTTTAGCTAACGAATAAAGCTACTGAACTAGTATTTTATCCAAATACGGGCTGTTTTTCTAGAGTTTTGCTAACAACAGAATTTGAAGTTAATTCAAATACAGGGTGTTTCGTGAAACATTTGAGATTTCTTCAGTTTTATATTCTGCTAAATATTCAGCTAACAAAAGGAGTTGGAATTTTATGTCCATTCAGAGTTGTCTCTGTCGTAGATACAGAGTGAATAAAAACGAAAGTTTTCAAACGATGGTTCGTTTGTTAAAACTGACATATTTAGTGTTCTTCTTTCTGCGATGTTATGAAAACAAGTCAAAACTAGGAATTGAGAGTGTTGGACTTCTGTTTGTTTCGGCTTTTGTCTGAAAAGTTTTTCAATTCCAAATTATAAAGTATACTGAATATTTTTTTTTTCAATCACAAAGTATACAGAATGTTGAGATTCCCTCAAAGGTGCTTTAGAAATAACTGCTTTTCCACTTTGGAACTTTCGATTTTTTGATTTCGACCGAAACCCAATATATTTAGTAGAGGAATTCAATGGGCGTAATGGGTCAATGGAAAATGTAAATATCTATCAAATATTCAATTGACAGATGAGGCAATCACAAAACAATCTATTTTATTTTTTTCTTGAAACAATATTCTTCAAAGCATGCTGTGACACTGTAGGCGCCTATCCCTTTCCTATCGGTGCTGTAGTCAGTCTTCGGTTACATGATGAACCTCCTCTTCGTGGCAGGAAGAGCAGAAACTAGGTTTGCAGTCACTGCAATTACATGATCTACCCCAGTCACAGTTTGGCATTGCTGATTACGTCTGTGCTGTTGGAGAGCTGACGAAATACTGAAGAGCTGTCAGGCTGACATTAACAGTTGGTATGAGACCTGAAACATAGTATAAAAGGCTTGTTTCCCCACCACACTCGAGTCAAAGCCTTATCGCGTTTGTTTTTTTTTTTGTAAAAAAGTATCCCCTATAGGCCTATTCAAAACCACACGCTCTGAAGATTTGAAGTGAATAATCCATGATAGAACAGGTGACTGTTGCTATGAAAGCAGAGCAGTTTTTATTTGTTCTATTTCTAGCTGCACGAAGATCAATTTCTTATTTCGAAGAAACACTTCATCAATTTGCCAGATGATGCCTCTTTCTAGAACAGGTGACTGTTGATATCAAATCAGAGCAGTTTTTGTTTGTTCTATTTCTAGCTGCACGAAGATCGATTTCTAAATCAATAGAAACACTTCTTTAATTTGCCAGATCGTTGGGGTCTTTTTTCATTGAACTATCCACCTAAACTTTGTAGAGCGTGTGGTTTTGTAAAGGCCTATAGGGGATGCTTTTCTACGAGAACAAAAACAAAGGCTACCTCGAGGGTGGTGGAGAAACAAGCCTTTTATACTATGTTTTAGGATTCATACCAACTGTTAATGTCCGTCTGACAGCTCTTCAGTATTTCGTCAGCTCTCCAACAGCACAGACGTAATCAGCAATGCCAAACTGTGACTGGGGTAGACCATGCAATTGCAGTGACTGCAAACCTAGTTTCTGCTCTTCCTGCCACAAAGAGGAGGTTCATCATGTAACCGAAGACTGACTACAGCACCGATAGGAAAGGGATAGGCGCCTACAGTGTCACAGGATGGTTTGAAGATTATTGTTTAAAGAAAAAAATGAAATAGATTGTTCTGTGTCTCATCTGTCAATTGAATATTTGATAGATATTCACATTTTCCATTGTCGCCCATTGAATTCCTTTACTAAATATATTGGGTTTCGGTCGAAATCAAAAAATCGAGAGTTCCAAAGTGGAAAAGCAGTTATTTCTAAAGCACCTTTGAGGAAATCTCAACATTCTGTATACTTTGTAATTGAAAAACTTTTTTCTAAAGGCCGAAATATTCAGTATACTTTATAATTTGGAATTGAAAAACTTTTCAGACAAAAGCCGAAACAAACAAGAGTCCAACACTCTCAATTCCTAGTTTTGACTTGTTTTCATAACATCATGGCGAAAGAAGAACACTAAATATGTCAGTTTTAACAAACGAACCATCGTTTGAAAACTTTTGTTTTTATTCACTCTGTATCTACGACAGAGACAACTCTGAATGGACATAAACTTCCAACTCCTTTTGTTAGCTGAATATTTAGCAGAATATAAAACTGAAGAAATCTCAAATGTTTCACGAAACACCCTGTATTTGAATAAACTTCAATTTCTGTTGTTAGCAAAACTCTAGAAAAACAGCCTGTATTTGGATAAAAAACTAGTTCAGTAGCTTTATTCGTTAGCTAAAATCTAGCAGTACATAAAACTGTAAATCCTGATGTTTCACGAAACACCCTGTACCGGAACTCTAGAAAAATATTCTGTACTCGAATAACATACTATTTCAGATGATGTTTACTTTTTCGGTAGCTGAAATCTAGAAGTATATAAAACTGAAAATCCTAATGTTTCACGAAACACTCTGTATCTGAATAAAATCCGATTTTAGATGCATGGTTTTTTCGCTAGCTGAAA